AGAAGTTAATGCCTTGAGACCTAGAAGATAGCAATACAACAGTGAGTGGGGAAACTGAAGCCTGGTCTACACTCAAAAGTTAAGTTGACATAGCTACGTCGGTGCAGGGGTGGGGACAAAACACCCCTCAAGCACCGTAGATAGATATGCTGACCTAACCCCCAGTGTAGACGCAGCTATGTCCAGGGAAGAATGCGTCCACTGGCATAGCTCCCGTCGCTCGGAAAGGTGGTGTTCCTGCACCAATGGAAACACCCTTTCTGCCTGTGTAGGTGTGACTGCGCTACGGGGTCATGCTGACATAGCTATGGCGACCTACCTGTTGTGATAGTCTCTGTAGTGTAGACGTACCCTGAGTCACACATAATTTCCATAAAAATAATACAGACGTTTCCCAGGTTCTCTATCTATGGTCTTCACACACAGAGCCTGGCACAGCAGTATCACACATGGGGGCCAAATCCAGAAGTGATGCATTTGGGGGTGTGAGCCAGACTCTCTCATCCCACAGACACACAGATCTTGGAAATACAGGGCAGGTGACTTTGTCCCTGAAATGGGTGAGATGTGGCTTCTGTACCCCTATTACCTTCATCTACAGTGGTACCCAAATATTGCTGCATCTGTTATTTTCCTTCATCAGATCTTTTGTTCCTTCATCAGATCTTACACTTCCACATAGAAATGCACAGAAGTTACATTAAAGTCAGTGACGTTCCCTCATTGTTTACACTGGCGGTGTACATGAGATCAGAATTTGGCCCACTGGCTTTGGGGAAGGGCAATGCACTGGCCGGTGTTTGTACAGATGCAAATTCCATGTAATTTGGACTAACTGCTCCAAGCCCCACCCTGATCCCTTCTGACAATGTTCCAGCTGCAGGAACACCTTCTGCACTGACATCAGCAAACAGCCTGTGGCACTGTCAGGGCTTCGTTTCCCATTAGTCACAGAGCTTCCCAGCACCGTCCCATTCCTTCCCCGCACAGCGAGTGGAAACGGCTGCAGCTGCAGCTTTGGAATTAATTAATTAACTAACTGCAGAATTGGAATTAATTTGAAAACTGGACACCATTAAATTAGGCTTGAATGAAGACTGGGAGTGGATGGGTCATTACACAAAGTAAAAACTATTTCCCCATACTTCCCCCCCACTGTTACTCACACCTTCTTGTCAACTGTTGGAAATGGACCATCCTGATTATCAATACAAAAGTTTTTTTTCTTCTGCTGATAATAGCTCACCTTAATTGATTACTCTCGTTAGAGTTGGTATGGCAACACCCATTTTTTCATGTTCTCTGTGCACATATATCTTCCTATTGTATTTTCCACTGCATCATCCGATGAAGTGGGCTGTAGCCCACGAAAGCTTATGCTCAAATAAATTTGTTAGTCTCTAAGGTGCCACAAGTGCTCCTCGTTCTTTACAATTGATTCACGGCTACATGTGGACTCTGTGCAATGCAGAAAATCACTTCTCGCAACTGTGCAGGGTTCTCCTTTGTACTGTGAACGAGCAGCCCGTGGTCTACACTCACCAGTGCTGGGTGTCAGTTACTGAGATAAAGACACTTGTCCTTTATGGCCCTTCTCCCATCTCAGAGTGGGAGTGGGGAGGTCAGGGCAGCAGCAGCAGCAGCAGCAGCCAATAAGCAGGGAGCTGATTTGCATGAAGGGGCCGTTCTCCAGCTCTGGGGGTTTAAGAGAGGATCGGAGGGTCCCAGACACAGACCAGTTTGTCTCAGGAAGCCGAACGCGTCTGGATTCCCCACCATGGCCTGGGCCCCTCTGCTCCTCACGCTGCTCACGTACTGCTCAGGTGAGTGGACGGTTTTGCTAATAACAATCCTCACCTTTCATTGCCTCTCTGATTCCAGCAGGGCGAGGGGGGGTAGGATTGCTCTGTATAAATGCAGCAATTGGGTGAACACTGGGGGTGTGAAAAGCCATTTAAGCTAAAGCACAGTGCTGGCACAGGAACAATTGGGTATAAACTGGCCATGAGAAAATTGAAACGGCAAATGAGATGGTTTCGAACCATCAAATGAGGGAGGGTCTGAAACGGGCTCCCAATAGGGACAAAGCACCTAACCCGTTTTAAGCTGGAGCTCGCTAAGGTAACGACCAGGATTGTGTGACTGGGTCGCCTGCGATAGCAGGGGCTGGAGTTGATGACCCAGGAGGTCCCTTCCAGCTCCGTGTGCCAATCAGAGATGCAAACGGCTCAGCTAACAACTTCTCTCTGTTACTGGTTTTGTATTAGGATCCTTGGCCCAGTTTGTGCTGACTCAGCCGCCCTCAGCATCCGCGTCTCCTGGGCAAACGGTGACGATCTCCTGTGCCAGGAGCAGCGGCAACATTGGTAGCTACTATGTATCCTGGTACCAACAGAAGCCTGGCAGTGCCCCAAAGCTAATTATATACGAGTGGAACAAGAGACCCTCTGGAATCTCCGACCGATTCTCCGGCTCTACAGACACCTCCGCCAATACTGCCTCCTTAACCATCTCTGGGGTCCAAGCCGACGATGAGGCTGATTATTACTGTGATTCATATGACAGCAACAGCAATCCCACAGTGCTACAGGCCCATGGGGAACTGAGACCAAAACCTCCCACAGCAACACACGTTCCACTGCTCTGGTCTCACTGCATCTTCCCCCTGCCTGAGGCCCTGCAGCGAAATGAACTGTCTCTCCCCCCTCACAGGTGGTACAATCCCCCAAAAAGGGCAAACTGTGAGGTAGCTTCTCTGTGTCTTGTTTTGGGGGATGGAGGCCTGGGGATGCTGCTGCCTTGTGGAGACAGGCTGTAGGGTGTTGTGCTGGCATGGGACAGACGGCTGGGGAAGGTCTGTGCTCTGTAGGGCTCCTTATCTCTGCTGGGGCAACGAGCCACATGTGCTCCCCTCAGTCCCTCCTGTCCGCGGGCACGTAGGGGGCGTGGCCTTTCCACTCCCAACTCCTCACTGGCCGTGTCTCCCATGAGGCTGTGCAGTGCCGCTAGGCGACCCCAAAGCTGAGCACTCTGGGGGCGCTAGATCTAGGCAGTGTCTAGCCCCTGCCCAGGTGCAGTGAGGAAGGACGATTCCTGGGCCCCATCCCCATCTCGTGCCTCTGCACTGAACCAGCCAGGGAATGACTCCGGGTACATGAGACAGATGGGGGAGGATGTATACACAGGGGGAGAGATTGGAGTGGGGGTGGGGAGAGACATGGAGATGGGAAGGGGCTTGAGATCACTGTGGGAGTGACTGAGGTTTGTTTCTAGAAAGTCCCTTCTGTGTGAATTCCCACGTCGGCAGACCCTGGGGAGGAAGGGTCCGGATGGCGTCCCTCATGACAGGGTGGAGTGTCTTTGTCATAGCGGATTGTACCAGGTGCCAATGTAGCCTGGTGCCAGGACACCAATGCCACGTTTTCTATTTGGGGGAGTAACGAGGATGAATCCTACAGAGATTACCATTGACCTGACCCCAGCCTTGGGTGGATGCCAGCGTGTAGGAGGGCAGATCCAACATTCCTCTTAGAAAGCCATTCTTTCCAAGCAACCCTACAATAACATTGGAGGGCAGAGGACATCAGGGGAGACTTGGTACTAATAAATATAAAGCCTTTATCCCGGGAGAGGATATGAACGGCACAGATACCGAATGGGGCAGGGCTGTAAGCAGGAAGTTCCAACCATCATAATGAAGTGGGTTCATTTTTTTATCCCTAATGCTGTCCCAGCAGTGACCCCCTGGAAGGTGTGGGATTGGGCCTGGGAATTAGGAGGGGAGGTGGCCCCAGAGAGATCCCTTTGGTAAGAAAGCGGCTCAGATGATGAAGCCATTGGAGAACCACAGAACTAAGCGATGAACAATGAGAATATACCAGTGACCGCTAGGGGTCATCCTTGCCCACAGTTTTGCCAGCTGTTGTGAGGCTGCTTGGGGCAGACAATGTCTGGTGCACTCTGCAAACCCTGCGGGGGATTTCCCTCACTGCTGACTGTAACGGATTAGTCTCTCAGTGGAATGGCCCATCTGTACCGTAGTTTTAGAACCGTCTCAGTCTCAAAGGCAAAGAAGGAGCCGTGGGAAATGTGGGAGGACCCTGGGTCAATGCATTCCCTTGTGAGCCCCAGGCTGGGGTGGTTTGACCACTGGGCTGCACACAAGCCGTGGTACATCTCCACTGCAACGTGATGAGGCAAAGGAAAAGGCCTCATGGAGTGTATTTCAACCGCAAAGACAGAGCAGGTAACACAGCGTTGCTGGGCACAAGCTGAGAGCTGTATCTGTGGGGTCAGTAGATGCAGGCGGGCTGGGATTGCTGCTGCCCAGCTGTGCTGCTGATCTCCCTGGGGACTGAGGTCCCGGAGAAGGTGCATCCATGGGAAGAGCAGATCCCTGCCGCTCTCTGCTGCTTCCATTCCCAGGGCTCTGCTGTTCTAATGAATGTACGTCAGCTCCCTGGGGCTAGAGCCTCACAGTCCAGGCTTCTGGCCCTGGAGATGGGAAGGTCCCAGGTTGCAGGTTTTCTCTTCAGCCCTCGGGGGAGCTGGGTGGTGGGGAAGGAAGATGCTTAAAATCTGCTTTATCCACCAGCAGGAACCATGTGAACAAGGGCTGGTCTGGGATCATGTGGCAGCAAAGGCTGAATAGATGAAAAAGGTCCCTCCATCTCTGGGTGGACGCGGCCTTAAACGTTAATAGCAGTTCTGAGAATGTCTGCAACTACAGGCCTTTCCCCCCTGTACAGAAAGGAACAGGAGTATTCCGGGGGGACCGGACGCCTGAGACTTGCAAACAGATTGGCCTTAGCCAGACCTGGGATCGGAGCATCACATGGTCTGTAAAAGCTGCAGCTACTTTATCCCTTTGGTCAGTTTTCAGGATTTGTTTCGCAGGGTTCGTTTGCGGGACGTGGGCAGGAGGGCGCTCTGCAAAGTAAGAGCTGGGAAATGAATCAACTGCTGGTTCCCCCTCATCAGGTTTAAATCACTTACAAGACCAGCAGGGAGGAGCTGGAGACAGCTCAGCCAATGAGCAGGGAGCAGATTAGCATGAGGGGCTGTTCTCCAGCGCTGGGGGTTTAAGAGAGAATCGGAAGGTTTCCAGCAAAGACACTTTTGCCTCAGAGAGCCGAGCTCGTCTGGATTCCCACCATGGCGTGGACCCCTCTGCTCCTCACGCTGCTCACGTACTGCATGTGTAAGAAAGGTTTATTTGCTGGGGGAATTAAATAAGAATTTTCCACACAGATTATCCCCTCCCCCTCATCCCCGGCTGACCTGCGGGATGTCTCTGGGGACGCTCAGGAATAGCTGTCCTGAGCTGATTTCTAATATTGTTTCAGGTCCCAGTTCCCAACAACTCCTTGCCCTGAAGCCCTCAGAGTCGGTGTCTCC